CTTATGTCCCCCTCGAAACCATACAACTTTTGTCTGAAACATTTTTTCATATCTCTTTTAGTTTTTTAAAAAATCGACTGTATAAATTAAAATGGCCCACCCTGTACTTTAGTTTTATGCAAGGTACAAAGAAACGAAAATTATGAGTAAGGGAGTTACAAAATTGAATAATAATCCATTTCCGGAGCCTCATATTTCATCCTATATCTACTACAGAAGTTTTAGGACTTACAGAAAACTAGGAGGTGTTGGACTCCGATCCTGTCTATCTAATCTCCTTTCGGGACTGCGATCTTTATTACTATTCCTTCTCCTTCGACTTCTATTAATGTGATTGCTGTTGCGACTGTTGCGCCTATGATTGGTCGCGGGCGATCTCGATCTACTTCTGCCTCGCGATCGCGAGCGTGATCTGCTGCGCGACTTGCTCCGGTAGCGTTTCTTTGGCGGACTAGGGCTTTTGGATCTCGGCCGTAAAATCGGCGATGGAGATTTAGATCTCTGCCTAATACCGGTGGCTATATCCTCTTCTTTACGTTTACGGGCGGCATTTTTCGCTTTATAGTACTCGTACAATCCTAATTTCTCCCATCCGTCACTGTAAATATAAATAAAATTGTTATTTATAGAATAAACATATACAAAAAGTAGCAAGTCATATAACTTGCGTTTGTTTTTCATTTTTATATTAGATTAATCGTTCTTTATGATTTATATGTGATTTCAATATTCACCTATCTCTAGGAGAATCATGATTTGGAGGTGCATAAAACGCTTCTACAGCTGCAACTAAACGATCGCTCGGTGGGGCTGGCGGTGGAAGTCTTATCGCGTCAGGATCCAATGGCTTGTATTCGCCATCTTCTAGCTTTATTAAAGGTACCATTAGACCAGCTGGAAGCTCGAAATAAGGCATACTAGGCATCAAATCCTCGACAGAAGGTTCGTGGATTACGGGTGGCGGTCCAAACCCAGGCGGTGGCTTTGAGAAGTCCGGCAAGGGAACATTGCTAAACGGCGGCGGTTCGGTTGAGGGCGGGACACCCCATCCAGGTGGCGGTTGACTGAAATTCACGTCTGTACTCATTGTGTTCGGAGGACCGGAATGACTAGGTGGCATTGACATATTTTGCTGATTCTGCAGAAAGAAAATTTTTCGTAGACATCTAAAGAATGAATATGTACAGTTTATGCCCGTTTCTACCAATGCAGATTAACTTTAATCTCGTTTAAATTACCTCTTATCTTTTTCTAATTCCTAAAACTAAAAAAGATATAAAGTAACGAGAAGAATATTATTGCCGCCAGTAATTGATTAACAACAAGAAGGAAAATTATTAGATAACTAAGCCGACCGATATCCAGAGATGGATGACAACCTTTTACAATTTAATTTTTAACTAATCCATGTAAGTGTAAAGTTGTGAATCTCATTTTGTCTCATTATCTATACTGCCAATTGTTATACAAACGGCTTATATTGTAAGTTTCTCCAAATTGTAGATATTTCCTTGCAAAGGACCACAATCCGGATGGTCGAAATGTTGGAATAAATTGTTACATTAAACCACTCTAGCCAGTTTAAAGTCGTGTAATAATTTTCCTTCCCGATATAAAGCAAGTTGACCCGAGATCAAAGTTAAACCGCTGGTAGAAACGCGCTATTTGAGATGGCAAAAAAAAATCAGACTACCATTTGAGGTGGCGGCGGCGGCGGCGGTGGAGTTTTCAGTTGCTGATCTATCGCCATCTTTTGTTGTTCGATATTCTGGATCTGTCTCAGCGCGTGAGTGACAAAAGCTTGATGCTGCGCTTGATAATTGTCGAACGTCTGTTTCGTCGACGCTGTAATAGGAGTGATCGCGGTGGCGTGCTGCGCCACCAAGTTGGCCTGGTACTCCGACCAGGACGCGCTCGGTTGCTTCAACTTATCTATGATGCCTTCGTCGAAGTAATTATTCTTTGATTCCCACAAACTCAATAGCTTATTCAGCTTATTAAGCTGTTCTTCGGATGCTGCTAGTGAAGTGTTACAGAACATGGGAACAACAACACTTTCCATTGCTTTGCGGAGATCCATAGACTTTTTTCTCGCACTGAGGAAGTATCCAATTATATATCTCGTACATAGTCAGCAACACGTTGTTATGACGTCGTTTAATATTGCAAATTTGAACGAATATAAATGTATCAAAGGATCGAGAAGGGCTTTAACAATTGTAGAAACTATAATGAAATTATTTTGGGAATCGCAACTACGAAAGTAAGAATATCTAAGAAATAGAAATATCTAATCAAAATAATCCACCTTGATCACTTTGACGAGTGATCACGTTACAATTGATTTCTGTCATAAGATACGTGCGTTCATACTAACCAGTGATGTAAAACGTCATTCACCAGATAAATTATGTGCAACTTGTGACTGAAGGTTGTCCCCTGAATCACTCTAAAAGAAGAATATTTAGAGATAAAAACGAGTATACTTTTTGTACGTAAAAGCCTGAGCAGAATGGCTGTCTTGTACGCTTAGGCCCGGTTGCACCAACTTGGTCGCTTAAAATCTTACAATTAGCTTAACTCACTATCTATTTCTAAGGGAAACAGAAGGAGCCGGAGAGAATCAAGCTAAAGTTAAACTTCTGTGACGGTGCAACCAGGCCTTAAAATACAATACAGTTTTTCTTAAAGTAACCACAACTTTTTTTCCCCACTGGATTACTTGCAAGAGCCAATAAGGATGCAGAGTTTTAGACTTTACTGCGCGTTACCTTAAGAGAAAGGCTTAAAGCATAAAACATTTTCTTGGGAGTATAAGACAGCCACTCTCTGGCCTTAAAAATAAAACGTGTGTATACACTATAAACGCACCTTTTCAGCAAATGATCCGCGACAACCTGATTGCTCTGCGGCGTAAGTGAATTCTGAAGTATCCAGGCCTTTCCCGCGCTTATGCTATCCTTCGTGCAGCTATCGATGATCGGTTGTAGGACCGTGTCAAATGCAGCCAAGTCTGTGTTCGTGTTTTGCGCACTGTTCTGCAGTGCCTGTTCCTGCGCCTGCCTCACGGCATCCTCTACTCTTCCCTGCTGTTGCGCCATCAACGCGGCATGCTGCGCAGCCAGGTTCTGTTCTGATTGTCTCACTTGTTCCTGCAACGTCGTCTGCTGCGACTGTAGATTCGCCAGCTCATTCTGCAGCCACGCGGGCGGCCCGGCGATGTTAACCGCCTGCGCGACACCGGCGATCGGCGGATTCACACCTCCTATGGCGCCGGAAACCGGTCCAATCGGCGGTCCTGCATTTCCCGGCCCTCCGATCTGTCCAGGTAAAACGGGACCGCCCTGGCTCCCGACCTGGGGTCCGATCCCGACCACCGGATTTATTCCATTGTTTTGCGTACTCAGACCGGACGCAAGACTGACGTTATTCAGTGGCTGCGAGACGGCGTTTGCGGCTGTTTGCTGCTGCTGCGAAACGTTTAAACGTGGGTCTGCATTTTGCATTGGATTTATTCCTTTTTGCTTTAAAACTGTAAACGAATGACGGTGGATTATTGTGAGATGCTGAGTCCTTCTCAATCGATATTTGAAAAATTTCTATACAAATAGTTCGATTCTGTTTTTTTTTGTTCTGCGAAGTCTTATCTTCTATCGGTGCGTATAAGAAAATTCTTGGGCATTTTTACACGAGAGAAGAGTACAGTATCGGAAAAGTCTTTTGGGAGCACTATGTTCTTTTTTTTCGTTTTTTTCTCTTTTTTTTAGGCATTTTTACAGTACTAAGATACATTACAGGGCACGCTACTTTTTTTGGACGGGTGGGTCGTATCTCCCCACACACAGATTGAAGCGACACATCGAGACAATGTTACTTCACGTTAGACAAACTCCAGCAAGAATCTTAAAACTACGCCTCCTCGAAATCGCCATTGCCAAGGTAATGCAAGGTGTCTTTAAAAGTGTTCCGCTTAACAAATAGCAATCCCAAAAATCTTGAGAGGAAGGCCGCTCGACGAATAACACATTTTTGTACGTTCGCAATGGATGGAGAATCAGACTCTGTTATCGCTTTTACAAAGTCGTCCCCTTGCTGGTCAAGTAAAAGCGTGGCCTGCTCTCTCTCTTTTTTTTTTTCTATGCCTCTTAATCACAGTAGCTGTTAATGGGATATGTCCCACTTACTGGCTTGCTCTGTAGTCACTTTGTACTGATAGTAGTTGAAGTGCTCCCCCCCAAACAGGAAACCGAACTTCGGGTTGTCCTTCTGCTTGTTCTTTGTCATCTGCTCGAATTCTGGCCCATTGCGAGCGACAAACTGCGCCAGTTTGTCTATGATGTTCCGTAATTCTGTGTCTGAATGTTATAAGCGAAAACAACAAGAATCAGATCCGAACTGGTATTTATAACGAATTAAATTAGATGTACAATCTATTCTAATTGAACGGCATTATTCTTATTCCGTGAGAAATCGCTGCGAGATGCTGCAGATTGAAATTGTGCAAAACAATAGGAGAATATATTTATGAAAAAAAGGAAAACAACGCGATACGATGCCGCAATCGCTGCGGAAAACAGAAAGTACACTTCAATAAGAGAAGAAAACGAAAGTCCGCGCAAAACTATCTGTCCAGGATCGACCGTGAGCGTCGCCGATCGCTCGTACGGTCTTCCTAAATTCGGAACTTTTCCCTCCCCTACGTTCAAAACGCACGAGTTTTCGCAAGTAACCTAGCGGAGTGAATCCAGACACACCAACGGGGTTTTGAAAGTGCTCTGTTCTCGTAGAAAGCCGCTCGACATAGGCCAAACAAAACGGCAAGGTGCAAGCGAGAGACGCATCGCGTATTCGTGGTTAATGCGTGAGAGGACACGGGTTAATTCATTAAGATAACGCACCAGAGAGCGAGCGAGAGAGAGGGGGAGGGGGAAGGAAGAGGGGAGAGAGAGAGAGAGAGAGAGAGTAGGAGGTGCGAGGGGAAAACGCGCGTGCGAGAGAGAGAGAGAGCGCGCGCCTGTGCGGCCGGATCGGCGTGCTCACCTGCGGGTGCCTGGTCCATCTCGGCCGGGGATCGACGGACCGCCGGCGGCTCCGTCAAGGCTGCGCGCCGTTAAAACGTCACGTGCACGTACCGTCCGCTCGCTCGTTTGTTGTACCGTGCATGAAAGCGGGCCACCGCCTCGTGGCGCATCATTCACTCACGGCGGATCCCCGACAACGCGCCAGACGCCGCCATTACAGACCCGCGGCGGCCAGCAGTGCTGCCAACGGCGCTGTCGGCTCGCTTCAAGGCGCCCTTTCACAGACACCGGTATCCATCAGGGCGGCGTCACATGGAGCGTAACTTGCGTAAGCGTAATCTGTGTATGAAGACGTTTGAGGTGCAATTGAAAAGATTTGCGAGCCACTCGTGCATTTGTAGTTAATTAAGTATTTTTCCACTCGACACACTGAGGCCCGTTCAGCGCCTCCTTCCTGTGGAAACACGGACATTCCTATTGGCTGTTGCGCGCAGGCGCGTATTCATAGGAACCGGCCCGTCGTTCCGTTCCGTCGTGTTTCGTGGGTGGCGACGACGTTCGAGGTTACGATGTGTTCTCAGGTGCTCCGGTTACCCCTCCATTTTGGATCTTCCACATGGTGTTATGAACGTTCCGTCGATCGCAGTACGCGTTTAAAATAACTTGACTACGTTTCATTGCGACTTGTATTTCAATCTGGATCGTCTGTCTGTTGCCAGTTGTCTGAATCAGGTAAGACGTTCAACGACGAATTTTATTTCCTCGACGCGGCATCTCTCTCTCTCTCTCTCTCTCTCTCTCTCTCTCTCTCTCTCTCTCTCTCTCTCTCTGACATTTTCTGAACATGTTGCGTTTTTGTGCAGAGTTAGCTGTGATAGAGTGGCGTGTATTTCTTCTACTTCTGTACTCTTTTGTAGATTTTGCAATCTTTTCACCTCGCTCGGCGAATGTTATTGACAATTACGTGAAACGTCGACGCGCGACCCTTCAAGGCCCGGTCTACGATGAGTGGTTAGTCGCTAGAAGTAGAACCGTATGTCCCTTTTCTTTCTGGGTGAAAGCAAAAGGACCGACTTACAGTTCTGGGGCTCGATCGTCCCTTTCCGCAGCGTAAACCCGTGAAAAGCGAAAAATTTCATTAACGAATTCAGGGGCTCGATCGTGAATCTTTTTCTCTAGTGTGAACTCGTGAAAAGTGAGAAAGTGTCATTGACGAGTTTTACATTTGTTTTACATTCACTGAAATTTTTCACTTTTCACGAGTTCACGCCAGAGAAAAAGATTCATGATCGAGCACCAACGTTTGTCAATGAAAATGTTCACTTTTCACGAGTTCACGCTAGAGAAAAAGATTCATGATCGAGCCCCTGACTTCTGACTAACGACAGACAGCTCATTGTAGATCGGGCCTAAGACTTTTCAGTCGCGTTATAAAATAGGCGGTTCACAAGTCCTGGTCTATTACAATTTCACTCTTGTGATAATAGTCATTTACACTTGATGGTACTTTTATCAATTTTCTTTTAAGTATTGATTTTCTCAATCGACTGGTGTTCAACTGACAATTCAATAAACTTAGCCTGTAAAGAAGCGTCTCTTATTTTAAGTATACTATACTTTTAACATGTTAAAGAGGTGAGGAGTACCGTATAATTTTGTGTATCTAATTTGTTTCAGCCTTTGTGTACATTTTCTGGCTCTAATAGAGTTTCATTTATTATAAAAATAAGATGACTGACAAACCTTTAACGGGTTAAGTATAATATTTAGGTGTTTATATCAATGCAACTAATGTGCAAAACATCAGTTGCATCTTGTTACACGATGCACCGTGTATAACGTTTTATTTCAAAACATTGAGGCCGGAATTCATAGTCGGATCTTACATTCGAGACAGTCGTGAATTTATCTAAAGATGTATGTAACGTTTCATTGGCTACGGAGTATCTAAAGATGATCTTAAGACTGTCTTGAATATAAGATCCGACTATGAATCCCGGCCTGAGATTCTTAGGGAAGTTTTCCCGAGACTTTATTTTATAATTTTATGTGCTGGATATTTTCTCGTTGATATACGTGTGTATGTACTTTCTACATGTATATATTCTGGAAAAGCTGTTAAAAATTGCGTAAAATTACAAACAGAATTCTATCCTGAATCCCGACAGCAATTATAAATCGTCTAACATTAGGCTTGAAACTGACTTTGTAATTAACGATAATTAAACGGGGCAGGATATACGCTCGTTGTCCGATGTGACACTATCACGTAGAATCGTCTTTCAAACCTGATGTTTGCACATATTACGCATACACTTACCTATATGCTTTAAAGCTAGTTCTCGTGCATATGTAAACATTGCGTAATGTGGTGCAACTTGCAGAGATGCCAGTTGCGCAAAATGAGGTCAAGTCTAGTTGGGCTGACGAGGTCGAAGAGGAGGGAGGAGCGTTGCCCGCGCCTACGGAGGTCTATGAGAACGGTTTAAAGATTCTCACCGAGTACAAATACAATCAGGACAACAAGAAGGTCAAGGTTGTGCGCGTTTACAAGATCGAGCGGCGTACAGTGTCGAAAACAATTGCGGTGCGTAAGAATTGGACAAAGTTCGGCGATTCCGCCGACGACAGGCCAGGGCCCAATCCGGCCACCACCGTAGGCGGTGAAGATGTCTTCATGCAATTCATATCCAGCAAAGAGGAGGAGAACAAGGTGGAGGAGGACTCCCTGGATAAGTTGAAAAGCATGGGCGACAAGGGTGTCGTCAAGTGCCGTAACTGCAACGGCGATCACTGGACGTCCAAGTGTCCGTACAAAGATACCGTTCTCGCCGGTGGTAAGTTATGTCGCGAGAATATTGGCACACAAATACAAACAAAAATTAAATTCTTATAAACATATTACACGTTGTTTAATGTTTGTAAAATTATCATTGCCGTAATTCTTCCAGGGAAAGTACCGGACGACAAGAAGCCCCTCGTTAATACGGGAGTGCCTGGTGCAATGGCAGAGCTTAAGCCGCAGGGTGGCAAGTACGTGCCGCCCGGTATGCGCGACGGCGGCAACAAACGCGGCGACTCGATGCAGATGCAGAGACGCGACGACACGACTGCTATACGCATCTCCAATCTCTCGCAGAGCACCACGGACGCGGATCTGGATGAGCTGGTCAAGCCGTTCGGTTCCGTGGTGAAGCAGTTTCTCGCCAAGGAGAAGCTTTCCAATCTCTGCAAGGGTTTCGCATATGTGCACTTCAAACACAGGGCCGATGCCGCACGAGCGATCGCCACTCTGGACGGTTACGGTTACGATCATCTTATTCTGAGCGTCGAGTGGTCGAAACCACAAGTTCAGAACAATTAGGGCGATTCGAAGTATACAAGTGCGGATAGAAATCTGAAATTAGTTTGACTACATTTGGAAAGAATCCCTATGACAAACAAACTATATTAGTGCATAAATCTATGTACATTCTACAATAAGTCGAAATGTAATGGCAGTCTGTATTCGTCTCATTTAATTCTAAATATGAAAATCAAATTTTCACTCAAATATATATTTATTCAATATAGTAATATTGTGTAGCCACGACATGAAAATTTCTGTTTATTATATTCTATTTCTTAAATGTGGCGTGAATACAGACGAAATCCCAACTTTATTTTATATCTTGAAACTTGTTCACGTAAGCATGTAAGTATATAAATATGTAAATGTATACATACTAATATACATTTATTATACATATTTTTACTATATATTCTATATATTTAGTAAATATATATAGTAAAAAATATAGATAGTAAACAGGGGAGCACATTCTTCACGTACTTTTATTATACTCTATTAAAATATAAAATCTGTTTCAATGTACTTTCGGTTTGCTAATTTAAAGCTACTCTGTTTATTCGCGTGAAAAATGATTTCATCGATAGTATCATATTTTTTATTCTGGAAATCTTATATCAAATGCAAAATATATTGTAAATTCTTAAGTGACGAGTTGATGTCCTTATGGGAGTTGATACTCCCATGTCCTTGATCATGGACTTGTAAGAAAATTAAGAAAAATCATTAATATTAAAATCGAAATAAAACTGAGATAAATCGAACCTGGAACTTTGTTCATACATATTGACATTACAAGTGTAATACTCGCTTAGCATAGACAGTTTTATTTCAATATATTACATAGATTATATTGAATCACAATGAAAGTAATTACATTTGGATTTGGCCGCGCGGCCGCATTATGAGTGGACTTAGGTACATATTTCCAGAATCGTAATGTTACGTCTAATACAACCTTACACAATGGCTTATAGAAGACTCCTCTCGAAGGTACATCCATCGCGCTAATTACAATATAATACAGCATTCTTATTTTTCACTCGTCATTCGTCGTTTCCTTTTTTGTTCGGGATCAGTTTGCGACGTCACACGTTGCTGTTGTCGAATAATAAAGCCACAACTCTAGTAAGTAGGGGAAGGGAGAAAAAAATATTGAGGACAAACCGATGACCGCTAAACAATTGAAGGCTATCGTTGAAAATTGCGAGACGAAACATCACGTGCAATTCGTGTTCAACACATTATCCTTCTCGCACAATGAATCTAGGACACCCTGTAATGGTCCAATTATTCGCGAATATACAATCGCCAATAAAGATCAGCCAGCTGAAAAAAATTACACGATTAAAATTAATAATCGTCTCCCTTCCGGACTTGCTTAGCAATTATCTTGCACCCTTCTCGACGTAAAGTAAATGGCGTTGCACGCAAAGTAATCCGAAAGCCTCGAGAAGAGACGCGTGTTCTCCATACCGGTGATAAAATTGATATTGGAATTGCAATGACGTGCGAATGAAAAACAAATTCAGTTAAAAACTCTAGATTAATTCCCGCGATCTTTCCGAGTGCCCGTCAAATCTGCCTTAAATCTGTTCTCCTTTTGGTCCGGCCGATAGTCTACTTGGTTCACGGATTACGAAAATTGTCATCACTTGTCGTCGGAGGGCGAACCGGGGGATGCTGGGTCCAGCGGCGAGCATTATCACGTGACATTGATCTCTTCGTCGTCCTCGTTCTCCGTTTGTTCCTCGGGCCTCTGCGGACTCGTGAGCGGACTCACGTCGCTCAAGTCCATTCTCGGCCTGTCCCCGTCGGCGTCGCTCAGATCCGGATTGGGGTTGTTCTTGTTCGGTAACGTCTGCTCGCGCGAGCCGCCGGTCGCCAGCAGCTCGCGCTCCTTGCTGTTCCGCCACTTCATGCGCCGATTTTGAAACCAGATCTTCACCTGCAAATACAACTCGTTTAGCCCCTTGTTAACTTGCAATGAAAATCCTAGAGCAATGTGTCGCGTTTTTATACGAAATTTATTCCGCTGTTAGCTTTCATCCATACTGTGTGCGACTATCTGTATGCTCGGTTAAATTATCAAATATTTTTCACATTCGTGTGTCCAATGTCTTCTTTCCGCCATCTAGCTGCCGTAAGTAGAACAATTTAAATTTCAACAAAATCCATTATAAAGATCGAGATTTGTAATTCATTGTGAGCCCCCATAAAATTGGTCTTAGACTATAATTTGCTGTATAAAATCTATAATTTTATTATTTTAAATTTCAAATTTCAATCGACCTCAGCTGGCTCCATTTATTAAATTAGCTTTCAACGTTTCGACTTTTGGTTTAGGTCCTTACCGGATGGGATCTAAGAGTAAGTATTTTACATATAAATTACATGAAAAGTATACAGGCATTGCACAGTATCGCAGAATAATTATTATAGGCATACCTTGTTACAAAGTCATGTCGAATACAAGTTTATTTTTTAAATTGTAATTCGTTCTGGATAGCGTTTCATTTACAATTTTATGTGCGTGTAAGTACTTTAATATTTTTTCCGATTCTTAATTTTAGCTGGGTTTTACTGCAGAATTACAAATCGCCTAAAGGGGATTCTCGCTTCAAACCATCTATAATTAGCATTACATTTTACAGAATCAAATTCTATTTACAATTTCCTGTGTCTCGTGCATCCTAATATATGTTTAAATAGAATGCCTTTAGCATATTATAGAGCAAAGTTCTGTACTATGAGATAAGCTTCTAGTATGAGACAGCAGGTTTTCAGCATCCAAATTCAATCACAAATCTTTCTCGCAGTGATTACACGATCTAACGATGAATTTTCGCTAAACAGATTTCACTCCAAGGACAGTAAATTCGTGGTGGAATCAACAGATAATGTCTATTAATTTAGTAGAAACACCGCTATCTCATATCAAGAGCCTATCTCATAGTAGAGCATTTTCCTCTACGTTGGATTTTTCAAATATTTTTCATATCGTATAAAATTACAAACGATAAAGTGTGCCCTGAATTCCGACACGAATTATAGAAACGGGTGCGATAACTCGACTCTTTAAACACCCCTGTAAAACTGAACTGGACAGTCATGGCAATATCATTCTTAAGACGCGAAATATCTCCAGCGCTCCTGCGTCCCGCGTGAGCTCCGGAGGCCGTTGCTTTTGCGAAAACGACATGTCTCGCGCGGTACATCAGTGTGCCGGTGTACGTAACCGAGGAAGAGGGAAAACCGTTACTTTCCCGCATTAAGGAGCCGCTGAACGGGCCAACGTCAAACGCACACCGGGCACCCCGAGAAAGTCTCTCGCCCACCCTTGTTTCCCGTCCGCCACGCCGCCCGTAGCCGCCCCATTAGCCACTTTATTATACGCGTTCTACCTTGAGCGAATCGTTGACCCCGTGGGCTGCGCGCGGATTGATCTACCCAAACTGCTTTCCGAATTTTCATTCGCCGCCACCGCCGCCGCCGCCGACGATGATGGTGTGCACTTGACACCATCACGGACCCACCACCTTCGGGGGGTCCGCGCTCGCTCGCTCGCTCGCACGAATACAACACTTCGCGCTGCCCCTGATTGATGCCGCGGGACGTGGATGTTCGATAATTCGCAGACGTTTCGGCTCAACGCCGAGCGTCAGGCGCGGAAGGCACTTCCGTTTAAAAGCTCGCTATCGCTTACGGGCGATCGCAAATCAGCTCGTCTCGGTTGCGCTTTTCGATACCTGAACACGGAATTGTAAGAAGGCGCGAGGATATTTCGCGCCGAGTACGAACGGGGGAGAGTCGCCCGAATCGCGCACTGCTTCAGATATTACACGTGGCATTTCTCATTTGGTACTTTGCACTAATATTGGAAATTGTAGCTCGGCGTTTAAAGGCACTTTTTATCGTGTGTCTAATTTTTTTGACAAGGGCAAATTAATTTGTTAGAAGCCTTCCTATGAATCTTAGTCTAGTGTGGAAGCTACCAGTTAAGCAATTAATTACATAATTCTGTAATCGTGAAATGATAAATAAGTGCGCGAGTTGCAGAATCGTGCCGAAACGTTATTTAAAAACTCCCGCGATACGATTTAAGAAACACGATCAATTTTATAAAAATATGAACGTAACTTTTACAAAGTACTAAAAAATTTTATAAAAGATTTAATATTTATTTCGATTTTAATATCGCAATATGTATGTAAAGTAAATGTAAAATGTTTTACAATAAATGTGCTTTTAGAAAAACATGAAAAAATATAAAAATACTTTTATAAAAACACAGAATAAAACTGCATTGTTAAATTATCATCGGCTACAAAAGTTACATCAATCGTACCTGATTTTTATAAATGCTAAATGTAACATGCACAAAATAAGCTGAATCTGGAATTTTTTGTTTACATTTCGCGTCGCTCATTTATTTCGTACCATTACGTGTCGTTTATAATCAATAACCAATATTCACAATCAGTACTCGCAATATGGAGTACATTTAGGTGGCCGGTATGCATTAAGCAATTCTCCTTCATGTTTAAGATAGAAAAATAATATAGAAAGGATGAAAGCTTTCAGAGGATATCAAGGAAATTGTCCTGGAATATATATTAGTATCATACATTGTATGCCCACTTTAGACGATTTATAATTAATGACTGGAGGATATTTTATAAGACGCCGGAAGTAATTAAAAACTTTAGAATATAACTTGGCCATGTCTGGCAAATTTTAATGCTAAACTCACAACGTTTCGACCATGGTTTATGGTCCTTTTCAGGCGATAATCGTATCAATAATTCCGTATGGTAAATGAAAAGAACCGGTCGCGAAATTAAGACCAGTCTTTTGATTTACCATACGGAATTATTGACACAATTATCATTTGAAAAGGACCAAAAACTATGGTCGAAACGTTGTGAGTTTTAACATTAAAATTTGCCAGACATGGCCAAGTAATAGTCTGAAGATTTATAATTAACTTTCAGAATTCTATCTATATATGAATTTATATATTTTAATGTATGTATTTTAATATATTATTTAATAGAGGAAAGTATGAGATAGCTTCTAATACGAGATAGCATTTCACTTCCAAATTCAATCACAAATCTTCCTTCGCAACAATTACACGATCTAACAGTAAAGTTTCCACTAAGGGCTAGTTCCACAAACATCGGTTAACTGCTGACCGAAGGTTAATTGATTCTCTGTCTCTTCTTAAATAATAAGATAGAAAAGGATATAGGGAGTCGACTGAACCCTAGTCAACATAAATCTTCAGAATATTACTTGACCATGTCTGGCAAATTTTAATGTTAAAACTTTAACCGATGTTTGTGAAACCTAAACAAATTTTACTTACAAAAGCAATAAATTGATGATGGAACCAACAGATGATGCCTATTAATTTTGCAGAAACTCCGCTATCTCATATTAAGAGTTCATCGCACAACAGGAGACTTTCCTCTACATGTTCGCCATTCAATTCTCCAAGAAGAATTTGTCATACTACGTTACACGACGTACAAAATTATAAGTAGAATTTTTCCGAGTTTCCAATACGAATTATGGATCGTCCAAAGTGGGCTCGAAATAAACTCACTATGTGGGAAATCGAGAGACAGAGAGAGAGAGAGAGAGAGAGAGAGAGAGAGAGAGAGAGAGAGAGAGAGAGAGAGAGAGAGAG